GTTCGATTCAATGACAATGGTTTTTGATGTATCTGGACAACTTTTACTTTTCATTTCTACAAATTGTGTGTTTTTGCATAAAACGTATTCAAATGTGCGTATTCAAATGATACATTGTTATGGTCAGCTCACCGATTAGTTGTAAGAATTGCCAAGCTTAAATTGATGACTATCGAGCTCAAATTGCGATTTGATGACAAAATCACGAACCTACTGCGGAAGACTTGAATATGGCGATTTTGAGTTGGAAAACTTGAAAGATGATTGAGCCACGCAGCTAGAGAACGTGAAAGAGTAAGAGAACTCTCTCAAGTATTCAAAGAGAGAGAGAGAGACGAAACGAAAAGATTAGATTTGAAATCATGTGCTCAACGGAAGGTAGACAATGACAAATGAAGATTGAAGAGTTTCAGCGGTCCGGTATAATGACATAAAACGACAGAGATCAATTTGACCAAAATGGTGAGTCAAACTAAGCTTCGTTTTGGGTAGGTCTATCATAGACTGTTTATGAGATCACCAATGGTTGGTTCAATAATGACGATGATTCAATAAAAATAGAATGGTGATTGGAGTTTTTGAGTAGAAAAAATGAATTCTTTTGAAAGAAACTTCCGATGAATATCGAATATCAAGAATTTTATTGAAAAATTCGTTTTATTTAGCTGAAGTTTGAGTTTTTAGAGACACGATTCCAAAAACAAATCGAAAATTTAAGAAAAAACCCAAAAATTTAAGAAAATTGAAAATCGGAAGGGGTCTATCGCCAAAAAACGAGTGCCATGGAAAAATACAAATCTCCCAATCCATACTCTTTAAGCTCTTTTATAGTTTTATATGTGGCGATTCGAATTATCGACAGTGGGTCATTTGAAATGGGTTACTTCAGCACGGTGTACTGTAAAAAATGGATCATCAAAAATCAATTACTTGTTCATCAGTTCTCAAGAGAGATAATCTTCTTTCGAATATTTTCGAAGGTATTCCTCGGATCGCCTTGTGTATTGATACATTTTTCAATGAAAAACCATGTTTGGAGAACGAATAATCGCGTGGCGCCTGTATTTCCATCATTTTAATCATGGCTACCAATTGTCTGCGACTGACTTAATTCTTCATTTGCCTGAATTGCCAGTATCATTGACACTAATTACAGTTAAAGTCCGGCCTATGTTCATTATTCATTTGAAATGACATAAAATACCAACGGCACTTGTTGCCAGCAGCTATACCATACACCATGTGTTCTATTATTTGTGTATGTAATGTGTACCATTCTAGACTACCAGCCGCAACCACAATTCAGCCTACTTTTATTCAAAAATGTATTCACATAACGTTTAGCATGCTGTTTAATGTTTTCAACAAGTGTCAAACAAGAAAAAAAAACTGACGAAGAATTATGGCAATTTCCGAAATTGCTCAATCATTAGAAGTGTAAACAAAGGTGTAATATTTTGTCGGTAAAGAAAACAGTAGCAACGACTAAACGACAATTCCAGCAACAATAGAAAATAATAATAATAATACAGGAGTACAAACTTGAGAAGTAAAAACAATAATAACGAGTACGAAAGAGTTCATGTTTTTTCGTGTGAAAAACAAAGGCCCGAAAATGTTAGTTTATTGCCACGGAATAAAAGTACATGTATGCATACAGATAAGTCGGCACTCCATGAACCACATATATATATTGAATTATTGTTATTGGAATTATTTATTACAAGTTCGAATAACAAATTCAGTTCAACAAACTGGATGAGGTTGATTGAAACAAAGCGATGTGTGAGGCGACAAACGTTAATTGCTTCGCTCTATTTTTATCGAGCCCATCGGTGAACTAATTCATACATTGAAATTGTAAGTAAAATCCAATTAAGTGCAGTTGTGCTGGAATGTGCCATGACGCCCGGCGACGGTATAAATTGGTTCAGATTGAGAAACCCGATAGAGTTTCGAGTTAAATGGCATGAGATTCAGTGGAGAGCGAAATTGATACAATTCTCTCTGTCTCAATCGCACTTAAATCTAGTTACAATCCAACAATGTTTATATAATGCCATTATTGCACATTTATTTCAACAACAAAACATACACACACATACTTCTTTCTACATCTTTCCATCAAATGAACCTTTAAGATAATTTTAATCGCAAACATAACTACTTTTTAACCGTTTTTAATGTGCATGGACTTTCATATCGCTAAGTTTCACTTTTGTCAACCGTTTTATATGTTGTCGTCGTGCCCGTCGTCAAAAGCCGTTTTTCGATGTTGTTGTTTTTGTGTCGACGACGAGATTTAATTATCATTTGCGAGTGAATTATGGATAGACAACTACATTTTAGAGGCAAAACAAACGAGAGACGATAAGACTATGGAAAGTACGTGCCGTCGTTTTCAGTCACAAACATTTATTTGCGCATTTATCAACCGAGCACTTTATTCTGTGAATGATCACCGATTAACTTCTAATTCACATTTTGATTCTAATTGAATTAAAACCCCCATTTTTTTGTTGTTCTCCAATTTTATTGAGAGGCGAAAAAAAATCCCAAAATGCGGAAGTGTAAAAAAAAAGCGGAAAAAACCTTCAATATATTCTGTCATTTTTGATTGTGTACCGAAACAGTGATAATAAAAGTTACGCAAAATCATCATCGGTGTAATTCTGTGTAGTGCGATATATTTCCGTTTGTAACACACTGAATTGTAATTGTAAATCATGTGAGCGCGGAAACATATGAGCGAAAAAATATAGAAGAATACGAAAACGTAAACAAAGAAGAAGAGAAAAAAAAACGCAAATTCACATCTCAATGAAATGCGATGCGGGTATTGTTTTGAGTCGATGTTCGTGTGTTATCGTTCATGCTACGAAACGAAGACAGTTTGTTTATTATTATTTGTTTTCGGTTCGGTTGAATGCGATAACGGCCACCAAGTCTAGTAAATTTCTAGCGGAGAAAGAGAAACAACATCGTCGCTCCATTCATTAATGGAAAAAAAGAAACATGTTTGAAAACTTATGATGCAATGTAACCAATAAAGTTCCGATATGCATCGTTAATCCGATTCCGACTGCAATTTTCTTTGTTTCATTCTTCAATGTGGCATACATAAAAGACATTGCAAAAAAAACCCGATAAGAATCAAGTGGATGGCACCCAAAATGGCAATTCCACATATTTGGAAGCGCTTAAACCGTCATCGTTTGAGAATGTATCAACCAGCTATATATATCGAACAATAATTACTCAACAGGTTTTTGTTCGGAGGCGACCGTGAATGTGACGTTGAACCCAATATTTGATTCAATACCGTAGTTCGGAATCTAACTATTCGTGAGTTGCTGCCACTGTTTTTTTATTTTGTTGCTGTAATTTTATGGTATTACATTGTCGATTTCTTCACAATTCTTTCATGCGTTCAGGGAAATACATAAATGAAACAATGAACAATCAACCATTCTCACAGCACCACATTTCATGCATCAATAGTTGCGATTGTTTAAAATGGAATACATTTTAGTTTGTGTTTTTTTATATAGAATATTTGATTTGAATAGTGAGGGACAGAACAAATTCTCACTAGAAAATAATGAAAAATTGGAGGAAAAAATGTCAAGTCCAACAACGATTGAATTTATGCTATTTATGGATCACACACAAACAAACGACTCAATGGCTAATTGAGAGACAAAAACGGTTTGCCATTCAGACATTGGCATTTTTGGAATGTTGAAATGGACTTACGGACGCAATTACGTCAATGGGTCACATTTTTTTGGTTTTTTCGTGGAATGTTTGAATTGGTGCTTTGTAGCAAGTTTTGTATCGAGTGGTTTGGAATTGAGAAGGAATTTTGGGGCGATGAGTGAAGTGGTAGCTTTTGTAATATTCATTCAAGAGTCGAATGACGCAATGGATTTTTACGGCAAACGGTGACAAATGACATTTTTTTGTAATTTTTTTCACTTTTCGCCCATTTTTTGATTTATTTCGACCAAAAGAGTTTTTTTACCGCTCTTTTCTCGATTTTTTAAACTTTTTTTTTTTCAAAAATATTTTAAACGTTCTCGATTTTTATTCATTGATTTTTACTATTTTGGGCCTCTTTAACTTTTTTTTGTCTCTTTCGACATTTTTCTTTATTTTTCAACTGAACCACGGCTCGTTTTCTATTGTGCTTTCCAGCTCTTCTTCTCTCTTCATCTTTCTATAGACTTCTCTTTCCTTTCAATATTTAAAATGTTGCACTAGAAAAATGGCTTAACTCGTTGAAAATCGTTTTTAACCTACTAAAAAGGCACCTTGACTGAAATTTCGGCTCTCGCCCTACAAATTATTCGATCGTTATCTTCTTTTGATACTTGCTCATCGTTCCAAATCTTTCCTTTCATTGCCACTTCACTCGATTCCATTGCCCACCTTCGAAAAGTTTGCAAAGCATATTGATTACGTGTAGTACTACGAATTGAGTCCCTTGTCTCTCTCGAAACAAATGCGGTGATTGTATGGTACTGCCACATGTTTTATGATTAATGAATCATGCAAAAATTGTACATTGTGTCTTAAATAATTTTGCATAAATCAGAATCAACAACAAAGTCTTTGATACAAAGAGTATTAGATGGCTTCATCCAGGTCATGCGATGAAGATGATTCACAATTTTTTGTTGTTCGTTCCATTCAATGCACAATACTATATCATTTTAGTGAATAGAATGACATCATTTTAGTGAGCTGTCGTTTCTCTCAAACAATACGTACAAAAACATCGATCGAAAAGCGATAATTTCCGTAGTATAACGGCATACTGTTTCTAATTGGAGATTCAATTTTGCATGATTTTAAATGAAAAATGGAGCAAAAAATCGTGCTCATTTTTTGTGGAATTGATTTTCATATGGCCGCACAGACGATTGAAAACAATCAGTCACCTCGAAGCTATTTCAATCAGATGATCAGTCGTGTTGTTACACTTGAAATTTGCTTACCTGCGTGATTTGGTTGGTTGCCCAGACTACCGTGATTATCTCATCGAAGCAATCTGGAAAGAAAAGAGCAAGCATTAATTAAATACGTGAAAAAATGTTTAATGTTTAATATTAATGGGCAAAGAGAAACAAAATGCCGCCGCCGATACACGAAGATGGAAGTAATGATTGGACAATTTTAAAAATTTCCAGCTGATTGCTACATATTATCATTTCAATCTTCTTTATGTAATGCCGTGGTGTCGATCACTCGATTGCAAACCGATTAGAAATTCACCGTTTTAAGCAGTGAGAATTTTAAAGTGGGTTTTTTTGACACGAAAGATATAAAAAATAACTTAAGTTCGTAAGTCTAACTTTTTCGCACTGTTTCCAAATTTCTTTTTTACCCAATGACATTCAATGAAGATTCAGTTATATGCTAGGGGCTTTCTACTATTCACGAATGGCAATTTATTCGCAAAATATAAACATTTTCGTATTCATACGTAAAATATACGAAATAAAGTATATTCATTCGCATCAACATCTATGAAAATTCGTATATTTCATTCGAAACCATTCGCGAATGCCGCATACTGTTTGCGAGATGCGTGATCATTTGCTTCCATTCGCAAAATATGTATGAAACATTCGCTCACATATACAACATTCGTATAAGTCGGAACCCCCTAGGTTATATGGAAAGATTTTGAACTAATTCAATAACTACCAAATTCTAATTTTTGACTTCTAACCAGCTTCTAACCAGGGGTTGGATTAACCCCCCTGGAGGACAGATTTGGGAATTACACCTTTACAAATTTTCTTTTTTTGAGGAAAATATTCCTTCGATTTGCTAGGGATTTTCGCGAAAAAAGTGAAGACCTTTTTTAGCTCTTCACTTTCTGAAGCGGGAGAAAATATTCAATTTTGCTTGGGTTTTTTGGGCCAAATGCTCAGTTGGGTTCTAGGAATTCACGCCATTGTCGGTAGAAAGTCTTTGCTCGTTTGAGTTTTAAGAATTCACACTATTGGTGGAAGAAGGTCTTTGGTCAATTGAACATTAAGCAAAGAAATCACATCAGAGCCCCTGTAGCCGAGTGGCATCTTAACTTAACGGGCGTCTTGCAATAGGTTAATAAACCTGAGCAACGAGAAACTATGAATATTACTGGAACGTAGACCTAGTATGCTCATCGTCCAAATCCAAGAAATCCAAGTAAGGAGCAGTGACCGGTTCGCGCATATTTCTATGCTTGCCTAAATACGCTAGGTAGCATAGATATGCCAAGCATAGCCGCAAACGCAACCGACGCATCGCCGTTCACTCTATATGAACAATACACATGTTCGTTTATGCAGACGACCGTGCGCATACAATATAGCTCGAATCGAATGGCGACGGGTGCGTTGCGGCTTACGTCTCCGCTATGCTTAGCATAGCTATCAGGCATAGAAATATGCGCGAACCGGTCACTGGTAAGGAGCGAATTTATAATTTGATTTTAGATTATTTATTCTAACTGGTGTATTTGTATGACAGTTACAGAATGAGGTTATGTGCAACACCTTAACCCTTATTTAATTGAAGTAAGTATTTAACTTATGTAAGTACTACTATACTATACGGTTATAACCTTTATTTAATTTGATTTCCTTGAAATGCAACTCCAAATAATAAATCACAAATATTTCAAATTTTCAAGTGATTTCAATTTCATTCAGTTTCATTTAATTAACATTGAGCATCAATTCATTTGATGTTTTAATGTTGTGTGTTGAATTTAATTCATATTAATACCGAGAATGACAGGATTTTGGTTGAAATAGTGTAAAAAAATATGGAATAAAGGAATGGTAATATGAATTTTCAGTAGTTTCTCTTCTCTGACATCAATTTTCCAGCTGTAACGCTGGAGCAAAACGGTCCATCCGGTTTTTCGCTGGATATTTTCCATCCAACGCCCGCGCTTGCCTTCAAAAGGTCAACATCGTCAATGTTATCCATTTTGAAGCATAGCTCTCGCAGCATACAATTGTCCATAAAAGCCATCGCACCATCAAACGACAGCTCATGACGAAAGTTCATTTCTTGAAGCGATGGAAGAGCTTCAATAATTCCTGTCACCGTTTCTTCATCTGGCCCATCGAAAAACCAGCCGATCAAATCGAATTTGAAAATGGATGCGTGCTGGTTAAGGAAGTCTGCGATTTTTGCCGTTTCATCGCGAAATTCCATGGACAATTCTCGCAAGCAACTAGACACGATTGGAATCTTGATGGGCAAAGTGTGGGCAGCACTAATCTTGATGGGCAGCACTTTGAGACCCGCAAAATTAGCCACGTTGTCGCCAAAATCAGTGAAATCCTTTTCACAACAGCAAATTTCCAGATGTTCGAGTGACCGAAGGAATTCGGTTGTGTAGCTGGCGCAACTGTGGATTCAACTTTAATATATTGGTGGTTGATTTGATTGACGGTTGAGTTGGTATCGGTCCGATACACTTGGGCGAAGCTTCGACTTGAATAAGCTTCAAGAAGCGCATCTTCGGAAAGCGGTCATTCAATCGCATCGATTTCCCTTGCAAAAAGCTAGATGTGATGCAAACGACTTCAGCGTTGGTAAATGCATTCCGCATACCAGTGAAATCGCTTTTGGACATTTTGGCAATTGCAATTTCAGTCACTGATTCAGAGCAGTGCTGATTTGCATACGGAACCAGCTCTCCTGTGTTCACGACCAGGTTTGAGATGACGTTGCCAAAGCTTCGTAATAGTTGATATGGATTATTGCATGCATATGCGATTCGTTGAGCTAAATTTCCGTTCAATTCAATTTTGGAAAATTGTGAATCAACGAGCACTTTTGAATGTCTTCCAACAAATTTACGCTCAAATGCCAATACCGCTGCTGCATTCAATTGCTTGTTCGTATGTGCGATGTTCAAAAGGTCTATGATGCCTAAGTACAGGAATATGCTTTCAAGGCAGTCATTGTTTACGCCCGTTAGTTGCATTGCGGATGGTTTCTGTGTGGATGGTTTTGGGCGCTTGGTATTCTGGTCATGGTGCGTGACTCGCTGCCCTTTTCTTTGTGAGTTCTCCATTTCGGCTGGGACTGACTCGTTTCGATGGACCTGACCTTGTCTGTTTGTCAAAGAAATACAAACAAGTTTTTTAGTGATAATGAATGTGAAATGTTGTTGAGATGAAACACACTGGTCAGTAGAGCAGAAGATGTACGAATTTTTTAGACGCTGGGTTAAAAGGCTTTGCAGATTGATCCACCACAACATTTTTTTTTATTTGTTCGGTACTCCGGATGGTAGTTAGTAGTTTTTGTGATATATTTATTTTGGTGTCGTTTGAAAGTAGTCCATTTTTAATCAAAACACTGTGTAACCTCCTACACATTATCATGATAAACTCGAATCTGATGCTGGTTTTGCGATAATATAAATTTGTGATGCACTTTAGCTACAGATACTTGTAAAAATGTTCAAAAATAGCGAGCCATGTATCATATCGAAATGATCAATATAAAAACAGTCGTATTTTGCGCTAAGTGTCTTTTGAATTCAATCTCTGCCGATCTCGATAAAAACCGTTAAAACTTCGTGAAAAGTAAAAAAATCGCCTTCTTTTTCATGAATAACACATAATTTCCTCGGAATTGTTTTCTATTTAACCGACTCTGTTTCTACGAATCGGCTTCTTCAACTCAAACCCATTGCAGTGGCAAGCGCTAGGGCAAAAGCACGATTTTTTCTGATTTCAAAAGGGAATTTATATTCTGCGGAAATAACTCAATTTCTATTTAAAAATTCAAATTGCCGTCGAATTGAATCATGAAACCCCCTGCCAACCACGATCACGTAATAAGTCTCATTCAACCTCGACGTGAGCGCGTACGGTTGGACGTTCTTGTGCACAAGAAAATTGAAATGATTTTTTTTCGCTTTCTTTGAACGTGCTTCATCATCACACCGGCCACAACATCTTCATAGTTCCCCATTACATCTCAATGCTAGGCTCAATGCTTCGACAGAAAAAATGAATTGGCAGAGAAAAAAAACGAGTCTACAATTCAACGCTTTTTAATTTGCAAGGCACGAAGCGGTGTAATTATTATTGGTACGCCATCGAGCATAAACTTCGGCTGTGTGTGTGTGTGGTTCATCGATACGACTGAGTTGGCATCGTGCGCCGAGATGAAACACAGAACTCAATCTTCATCATCTCTCGAAGTCATTGAATTCTCTATGGAAAGTTAATGTTTTCTTCTTCTTCTTAGTTTCAATTCAAATTACTTAACTGAATAATGTAGTGGCTCATGTATATTGGTGTTATAAAATTAATATGGCATTTTGATGGATCTATGTGCTCGCTCAATGTGTATACAGTTAAAATAATGTGTGATCATTTGAAAATTTGCCGCTTAAAACCAAATAAAACGGTACATATATACACAATGTAACAACGGCACACAAATTATGGCATTGTTTTCGAATGGATTTGTTTGCAATTCGAATATTATCTGGTTGCGTGTGTATGTGTCTCACTCACATTCAGTCCCATTCTTATTTTGTCTTATTAGAGTCTCACAAATCATATTTTCATTATACGACGCTTGATTTTCAAAATGATTATTATTACGATAGATTTGATTATTATGCCATTTAAACGAACGAGAGACAAAATCAACAACAAGACCTCAACTAGCTCAGACAAAACAAATTGCGCAAATATTGAAAAACGATGCGCCATTTGTATGAACCACTTCATAAATTATGATTTGATTTGAATGACTTACATTCCAAAGTAAATTGACGTTCGACAATAACGATTTGCGTTTCAATGGAAATCTGCTATTAATGTAACGTTTTTGAACAGAAGCATTGAATGTAATTTAGGCCGTTGATCAAAATACGAGTGGGTCATGAGCGAAATTCGAGTGTTTTGTTTACCAACTCAATCTCGATTATTCATTTTCTGAACTGACTCTACCGATTATTTCGGCTGAGGCGAATTTGATTGTATTAGCACCGAACCTCAATGTCTTTCTCAGAAA